ACAACCCATATTTCATCCACATTTAATTTTAATATCTATATTTGGCAAAATCCGCTTGGAGCTCTTCTGGGTCTACTACCGGTCCCAAGCCTGGACATAGGAGGAAGGTTGGGCATGGGGTTAGCGATCCCATCCCGTAGAAAATTAACTCGCTAAAAAACGATATTAAAAACGCTAGTCTATATCAAGCTGATTATGCCTGTAAACTGGCATCTTAATTATTCATATTTTCAGCATACAAATGTTATTAAATGTAACGTATAGTTTCAGTTAATGTTACATTGATGAACAGAGGACTATTATCAGGCAAGCATTTTTTTAAATACTGTCAGTAAATTGAAAAGTATCATGAACCAAATATGTTTACGAACTTGCCTTCTAACTGGTTCTAATCTTACGAATAAGCATTGAGGAGATTTGGTGGTAGGATGAATCAGATATTCAAAATAGGTCGTAAATGTAATCCAGGATTGCGTACTTTTGGTAACCGAACCCATTACACTTATGTGATCATACTGTGGTGTGTGCTACTGATGTCGACAGATATAAGTGGTATGTATCAGCCTGGATGCAGAAGATTAAGTAGTTCAAAGAAAAGAGAATGAGAACAGAGAATAATTGGTATGGAAACTCAAGAATGGTGAAGTCTAAGACTATTCATTGACATAATGCAAATGGAGTATTTACTACTATATGGTTCTCAGATGTTATTAAGAGATTCTGTAATTTATGTGTCCAACTAATGTTCTTGTTCACTATAACATAAGTCCAATTTTATAACTCCCCTGTTCTTTAAATTTTCAGCAGCATCAACTAGCTAACTTCTAATTTATAATGTTTTGTTTACTTCTCATCTGATTTAGAAAATTTAGTGCCATTCTCCAGGAATAACAGCGTCATGTTCAAGTAATCCTGATGATCAAGGAGAATATTGAGAAGTTTTTCAGACCATAATTACTCATAATATGTTGATATAGTTATGAATAAAAGCTGGAACTATTTACCATCTAGTTTTAATATATACAAAGTTCTGTACTAATAAGGACTAGACACGCATCACATTGATCACCACCCAGGATGAAGATCGTGGCTCGGATAGCTCAGTGGCAACGTCTCTGGCTTTGAAGGTGGGTGACACGAGATCGAAACCGCCAGGGAGCACCAGTTCCCTCAAGATCACAGGTACACCTTGCTGACGAGTGCCAAGTAGCACGAAACCAGGGTCCAGGGTTTCCTGTCGACTACCTTCAACCATCATCTAATCTCAAAGTTCATTTTCGTTTAGTATCAATCAGTTTTCAGGCTTTAAATGCGTCAATGCTTGCAACTACTTTTCTTGTTATTATTAAATGATGATTTCTGGTTATTTCAGTTCGTGGACAAATCAGTTCACAGAAAAGGGTTTGGTATCATTAAATTGAAGCTATTATAACTATAAATGAAAACGGTATAAATTTAAACTGCAGAGAATGAGAATGATGTCGGTAAGTGAGTGATACACAGATGACAAATGTAGGAGCGGGAGGTTTCGTTTGGTCAACCTGAGAAATAATGATCAATAGTGGTTCAGTTTCAGCAGTTGGATGAAGTGAGATCTTAGCAAGAATCTGTGATGTAGATGACACACCATCAGACTGACCCCAATCACAGATCGTGTCAGTTTATAAGCAAGGAAGAAATTTTAACTTTGACGATCAGAGAAGAATCTGTTTGGCTAATATAGTATCTAAAATATGAACCCAAATAACAGTCAGACGCTTAACATAAGCTTGTAAAGATCGAACCCGAAAAAAACTAGTCTGGTTTCAAACGTGGATGTAGGTATCTAGGTCATATATTCATCTTTCATCAGGATTTGGAACACTTGGTTATCGACATCCTATGATTGTTGCATTCTTTGACCTTAAGTCGAAGTTCGACTATGTTTATCGTGAAGAATAATGCAATTCTATAACCAAGAAAACGTAAACAAAGTACAAGGTATTTTAACACGAATCTCACTTCCAAATGACTACTTTAATTTATTTTCAAGTTACCAAACTATTGACAAACTCCTCCTGGAGTCTTTTCGAGAGCTAATGTCGGTCCCAAGCCCGGATAAATGAGGAGGGTTGGGCATGGGATTAGCGACCCCATCCTGTCGAAAACTAACTCATTAAAAAATGCTAACCAGAAATAACTATTCAAACCTTTTAAGTAAACTATTGACAACTTACACAGACTATGAAGCCAAACACATGAAGCTTTCAATATCAACCGTTATCAACGAATCTATTTTCTTTCGATCTACTGTGATGTAGATAGTATTTTACAATTAAGGGATTCATTATAAACTTTACCGTAAACAAATTCTTACTTCAAAAATGTTTATGGGCAGAATATAGTACATTTAGTCATCCATGATTTACTTGACATAACTACTGTAAATCAAGCAAGTATAGACTTGCTGAGTTTATTATACCTATAACCTATTTAGGTAAGTAGGACGACTGACTTTTTTCATATGGGGAGGATACATCCAAATGATGTTTACATTCAAGAAAGCTGATTGAAGAAATGTTTAATTTATTAATCACCTATTTGATAATCATGACAACTATCATACATTTGACTTTCACTAATTATCTTGCCTATTATGACATCATAGGAATTCAATTGTCATCTCATCATATATGGATGGATATAAGGTGTGGTCAATCGTCAATTAATGCATGCCGTTAGATGAATACAATTGATGGATGTTTGCTAATGTTACATTATCGCCTATTGTCATATGTGTAGACTCGTTTATCAGTTTAATCTCAATTGGTCAAGCTTATCTATATATATAAACATTGTAATCCGTTCCATTGGAGATTCATACAATATCCAATGGTTAAGAGTGATTTTCTATTGACTCCATATCAAATTATTATATTACCATGTATTACCCTGATCTTTTGGTCTTTATTTCTTATAGTCTTCAGAAGTGATGGTAAGTATAACTATGTATGAACAATATAAATAATCTTAAACTTGAAAGAATTAGACGACCGTTTTGGTTGTAGTATAGGACTCTTCAACATGAAGCACCTCATGATGGTTTAATTTAGACGGACTCATGAATTCAATTATTAAAATCAAATTAACCATATATCAAAACATAATTTACACAAAATTCATTATTTCGATTAGCTTGCAGTGGTCGATATTCAATATAATCCTTAAACGTCGTATACAGTTCGTCTTGATAACCGTCCTAGATAACGCCCCAACGGTATATTAATTAGAAGGCGAATACGAAGCGTTGACTAAGTTTATTACGGAACCACATGCAGATATCCAAAATTACAGATTCGGTAAACAAGAGTTGTGCCGAAAGGCAAGTGAGTGAGTGAGCGAATATGAGTACGAGTAAGCGAGTGACAGAGCAATGAACATGAATAACATGGACATATAAATACATAGTGATATGAATTAATCATCAAATCAATTAGGCGGTTACCTGTAAGGCTAGAAGCGTAAATAAATGCTTGGGCAGTAAGCAATGCTCAAGCATACATGTTCATACATTCACAACAGTAATAAAGATACAATGATATAGATATGTTGTTGTTGTACAGGTGACTTAGTTCGTTAATAAGTTAACACAATGACTTAATCGAATTAATGGTGAACAAACTCAATTGCACGTGAGCTGTTATAGGTTGTGAACGATCAAAAATACGTTCCTTGATTGGCATCGAAGTTTTCCATCGTATACGCTTGATCCACATTTCATTAATCGCCCTTATTGGTTGGATCTAATTATTTCCAAGTGTTCAATTTCTGAAATATCAACATTGATTTGTATCGTTTGTGAAATAGCTCAAATATATTTAGTCTTCTAAAACAGTCAAGCCTAGATAAATCATCCACCTGAGCTACAAATCTTCTCCACCATCTCAAAGCTTAAATAAAACAAAGCATGTAACGTGGATTTTTATATTCTCTATCATGGTGCATATGGACGTTATCGATAATAAAAGCCTAAGTTGTTGATTTGCTACTAATAGATTTTAGACTTTCTTCATGTGTCAGAATTGTCCCTAAAAAGAAAATGAAATCATAAAGTACTTCGGTGTCTTGATCCTTTATCTTGTTCCGCTGTATCTCTGATTAGAAACCACATATTGTTGTGTTTCATGAATAACCCTAAACTTAAATTTCTTTTCTTCTACATAATACATCACCTTGTCAATACTGCACATGTTAAAATAATTAATTTGATAAAATTGCTTCACCGTTATCTATAGGAAGTGGGAGATGGAATGTAAGTTATAGTTCAATGAAAGAATAAATGTTCCAATATTTCAATTTGAATTATTTTAAACGATACAATACATTAAGATGATGGTTATAGGTAATCAATACGAAATAGCGGACCTAGGTTACACGCTATTTGGCACTCATCAGCAAGGCTATTTGGCACTCATCAGCAAGATGTACATATAATCTTGAGGGAACTGATATTCCTTGATGGATTCGATCCCGTATCACCCAGCTTCACAGTCAGAGACGCTGCCCGGGCCGCGACTGATCTCCTGTAGGATTGAGATATATTTACAAGTGATTGATCACTGGATGATGACCAATTTTAGGTCCTTCTTAGTTCAGATCGTGTCCAAGTATTACATAACTCTGATGATTGTCACAGCTTTTCCTATTCATTAACTAATTATTTCAGCATAGTGCAATGGCTAGCAGTATAAACATACATTTTGTTGATATCTCGAGAAGCAGTTGATCAAATGTCTAATCTAAAATACTCAATTCTTCAATTTATGTGTTCATTTCGATACTTTTTTGTTTCTTAGGTAGACATAGGTTCGTTTATTCTTAATTCAAGGCGAGATGTATGTTCTTCTGTTTAAAAACTCATTTGTTAATAATTTTCTAAATTCAATTGCGCAAATGCATCTTCAGCTTTCTATTTCCACTCAATAATTCCTTTCAGTCAAGTGTAACATGGTTTGTGTTTAATGAAACGAATGAATTATGCTCATGTGTAAGTGAATGATGAGAAATAATCGATTATAATTGTTTCTTGTATAGATTGAAATATCCATCTATAGGAACCCTGAACAAACGGAATTTCTTTGGATTGTACGTATGACTTAATTCTATTATCCCTACCTTACTACCACTTAAATAGGAAGAACGAAAATAGTCTTGAGATCTACATTAAATAGAGAAAATGCATCATGGTGTAGTGAAAGAGAACACAGATGAGGATAATCGATTGTTTTAAACACAAAATTATAGAGTTGCGTGATAAAATAGAAAAAGCATGGTCAAGTAGTACGCATCTACGATCGGACCCAGCAGCTACCGATCCTGCGTGCGAGCGCTTAACCTCTAGACCAATGTGCTGGTATTCCACGTCTAAATTCAACCGATTACTGTCTTTATAACTCACACTCGTTTATGGTTTCTAGATCCGCTTTAATATGAACTAATGTATGCATTTGCATATATATATATATGTAGTAATATTGTCATGAAGGAGAACACAGGTGAGGACAATCGATCATTTTCAGCACAAAATTATAGACTTACATGATAAAATAGAAAAATCATAGTCCAGCACTTCATTTGGAAAATCTTCGTTAATTGTCTTAGAATTTGTTGTTCTTACATTTCCATATCAATTGCTTTCTGTTACTGTTCTTCCCTTCTTGACCTTCACGAATCTTCTGCTTTCAGGCATTCTCTGTCTGACTAGTGTTATACACTACTTATGTCGATATAAGTAGCACATACCACAGTAGGAAATCAAACTGCATTTTCACTACATATTTGCTTGAATTTCGTTTTAAATACCGAAATAAGAAGGATGTAATGATATATGTATTTTATAGTTTACCAAATTTTTTAAAGAAGTAAGTTCTGATGACATTTTCACAACCGGATACAGTTCGATACAATGATTTACATTATATGAGATTATTAAGATTAGGATAAACTAACAGAAATACAAGATACAAGGTAACGATTCTGGGGTTTCGCCATGAAACTCATTCATACATTCGGCTAAATTAAGTCTTGGCATTATAGATTATGTCAGTTCGTGATGAAAACTCTAAATCTAATTGCTAACCCTTAGTTAGTCCTAGTTATGAGGTGGACATTTTCAAGGTCACTTTAGCGTCGCTCATAGGTCGTCCATAGATTATAGTCACACCGATTGTATTTATCAACGTTTCCAGATGCCAATACTTCTCATTTTTATTTTTGTATTTCAACAGTTTATGTTGGTTTATAGGAAATCAATCCATAAGAACGAATCTTTTCTAGGACTGATGCAAAAAATGCTTGATTGACACGAAAGAACTAAATTCATTACCACTAACACCTTATTCCTTATAATGCGGGAAGAGAAAGCACAGTTTTAAAGTCTTACCATACGTAAAGAATCAAACAAATTTTGTCTTAGGTTGTTTGCTAGACCAGAGAAATTTCATTTTGAATATATGACTAATTGACTTATTTGTGTGGATATTACAATTTAGTGTGATTTTAGTAAAACTGTAAGTTATTGCATAGCTATTTCCGCTAAGTTAACTTGCAAAGAGAATGTGATATTTTTATTGAATAGACATAAGATATTTTGATGGTTAATCATGAGTTAATTGAAGTTAGAGCTCACTGAAAAACTTAGAAGCATTGAACGGCTGTTTCAACTCATTATGGGACTCCTCAGCAGTGCTCATCCATGATCCCAACTAGCGAGATTCCAACATAAGATATTTATCAAACTTACTTATTTAAAGAAATGAACATAACAAGTCATAAATATTATAAGCTATGTGGAATGAAAAAACTGCCCCATCAGTGTTCCGGTGTATCTAACATTACAATCTGTAACTCCATTCACTATGGTTTTCCTCATAAAAAAACTTCGTGAATCTAAATCACGGAACATAAAACTATTTGGTTCTCTACGAATTTCAAGACATTGCTGCCAAGTAAAAGTATACTTGAATAAAAAATCTAGAAAAGATGTTTAAATAAATAACAGGGATTTCTGTCAATTTTCAATCATTTCTATACCATCAACCTACTGTTCATAATGAAATATTAGGCATATGGTCAAAGTTTCAGGATATAAAAACACTCATAATTTCTTCTGTTTCACATATACTAACATTTTGATTGATCTGATAAATGACAAACCTATTCAACAATCTTTTCCCCGATTTGATAAGATAATATTTCAGTAGGTCAGTGCAACAATCTTTATAAATGTATAGTAGTGAATGGTATAATTTGAATCATATGCTGAAACAGCATAAATAACCAAATCCACACTAAATATCAGTCAATTAGGTTAATCACCAAGAGAATATTCAAATACCTTATGCAATTGAAAATGTAATTAAGTAGAGGATCATCAATGTTCTAAATGTATCGTGTCCATTGATGGATGTGATGTTAACACTGGCCCTACCTTATGAGTTTCATGAGATCAAATTTTATTAAGTAACATTACATACCCGAATACTATTGTTACTCAGTGAACTTCCAGTTACCGTACTGCATCAGCTGACAACTACCTGTCAAACCATATTGTTTTTGATTCGTGATTTTAATGAAATTGGACATTCACCACAAACCATCTTTACTGATCACTATGATAAGATCAAACTCAGAATTATGAAATATACTTCAACTCTTATTTGATAAACAGGTTGTTCTATTGTATACTAAGTAAATTAGATTCATCCAACTTACCACTCAAAATAAGAAAGGATAAATCAAAGTTACTATTGTTTCCTTATACTCAAGGTGTCAGTAAAATTGGCCATTTCATCTCACTATAAACAATAGGATTTCATTTACATAATTCATTCAGAAACAAAGTGTATTAACCATGACGTAATACCCAGAAAGGAGAAAAAAATTATACGGTAAGTTGATACTAAAATATTTATAATGAGATTATGATAGATAAACTATAGAACAATTATATCTTATGTATACGCCAATATTCATTTCCCAAAATGTGCAATTATCATGCTCTATATGATAAAAATAAATATGATTTCAATAATTTCAATAGTTGAGATCATGAGTCAATTGAAGTAAGACCACCATGGAATACCTGAAAGTACTGGACAGCCGTTTTGTCCTACTGTGGGACTTCTCAGCAGTGCGCATCCACGATCCTGCCTCACGAGATCAAAACCCACCGCCTATCAAGGTCGTGCGTGAGCGCTTAACCGCTAGACCACTGATCCGACTGGCATCCAACGATGTTAATGTCTAACTTCAAATAATCCACGTAATTGAGCGACACATCCACCAATGTTTTCAGTGAGTTACTATCTCACAACTGACTCATGATCTCAACTACTGAAATTTTTATAATATCCACAAAAGCCCTTCTGATATGATATCAGTGTTGTAAATTTACCTTGCGCACAGATGGATAGGAAAAACTTGATTTTGACTTCTTCGGGGAATTCAGCAATTTACCTGAATGACGCGATGCCCCAGTGTTCCCTCACTTTTTCACTATATATCAGTTAACAACCATTTATGATAAATCGACTAATAAAACTAACAAATTTAGATACCGTTATGATGAGTTGACCTGTTAATTTCAAATAAATTGAGCATTGGGTACGATTGTTACCAATAAACAAATACTACATTTGTAATATCTCAATGAGATAGAAAGTTAAATTTCCTGACTTTTCGTGACTGTGTAAGCAACTTCTTCAGAGAATAAATAAATTGACTATGTCTAAGTGGTATAAAGGAATAAAGCAACTAAGAAACAAGTCTGACGAAGCCACTGTCATTTTACTCCGGTGAAGATGAGGAAACATCCTTGTATATTTGTGTGTGTATTAATGGGTGTGTAATATATGACACTTGCAATGCTAAAAGATAGAGTTAAACTTGTGTATATGATAACATTGTGATTTGTTAATAGAATGAGACATGGTAACTCGAAGAGATAGTTCAAGTCAGATGGAAAGTAATACCATCTTACCTAATCAGCAATACATGGAAAACTTCAGCTACTCATCTTTTTTTATAGTTAAAAACGTTTTTTTCGTATTATTTCGATATCTTTCCAAGTCGAATGGATGGTTGCTGAAGATCGCGTGCATTTCGAGTAAAAACCGGAGTCAGACAAAGCTGTCTAATCTTTCCCTTCCTCTTTGTTCTGGAGGGAGCTGGAAAGGATTGCCGAAGACAGTGTTGGATGGAGAATCCTGATGAGCGGCCTACGCTTCTTCCTGAGGAGTAACAGGCGTAAGTAATTGGTAAATAAAGAAGATCGCATGCAGTTCTATACTCCAATTAACACATTGCTGAAAAAAACACTTGTTTTAGGTATATTAAGCGATTTCGTTATCTTTATTCTTAAGTTCATAAAATAGGAGGAAATAGGGTAACATTGGTGTTTCATTAATGATCACACATTCAAATTAATTCCATTTTGAATACTTCACAACTAAATAAACTTTCATTTTCAACATATGATTAACTCAAATATCTTTATTATAAACTATGACTTAGTGTACATGTCCCACTAAATTTGTAAGTGATTAAATTATTGTTTCTATATGAACAGTTAGAAATAAAATATTTCCTATGGAGATAGATATATTAGGCGTAATACCAGGCAACTTAATATTCATTTGAAGAAATTCTTATGATCAAATTATATCTTGTTATTAAAATTATTTATTTTGGGGGCCTGTTTAAACATCCGGGCTACCTATTCCTGCCATCCAGATAGTTCAACAAGTTTCTTGTTTGTTTTAACACATCATTATGGTTATTAATTGCATAATCTATTCAGGTGTGTTTCTGAAAAGGTTTATAAGCTTTCACTGTAAAACTTAAAAATGCCCAATCAGAGATGTCGTGGTTGCTGGCAATATGCAGTGAACAGAATGTATATAATTTAGATGTCGATTCCTGAACTGCTGCTAACGTCTAACTGACGACCATCCAATATTTATCTCAAGGATCGATCAACAAATAAGAAAAGCAAACTTGTTGAAATATTTGGTATTGGGAATTCTATATTATACCAAACACATAATGTTGAAGAAAGCTACCGCTATTACTAATAATAATCACTACAATATATCATGCATTATATAGTGATAAAAGCACAAGATCACATACATTTGTCACCCACTTTTTGTAAAACTGCACAGTATAATTAATAAAGAATTCTTTATTAGATAAATGTTCATGAATGCATGTTATCGACTAGGTTAACTCTAACAGCCTGTTCGTCACAGAGTATTTTTGCTAGGTAAGGTATTATAGAACTTTCATACTTTTGCTCGCGTGCATGGACCTGAATGTAATTTTGTCTCATTCTACCAGAAGATATACAAGGAGAAAGATACGAGTGAAAAGCATGGTTGGTATCTGATAAAATAACACCTACCACGAGTTTGCATGACTTCAGATGTCTATCCACAATCATATAATTATGATCTCGAAAGTGTTTTCTTAAAGTCTCAATCAAAGATAATGTCACTTCCCTTTATTGATTTATTTTTCCAATTTTAATAACTTTCATTTGTGAATAATATAATAAGACATGTTTCATTGACATTATCATCCATATAAGATATTTGGATCTAAGCTTAGATATTCATAATAAAAATAATAAAAAGGATGATCATATTTTGATTATTAAGAGCACTTTCACTTGCATGTCATTGTCAACATTTTGTAATATTAAATTTTTAGGGTCATGATCAAATCACCTATGTAAGTACTTTTCAGATCTTTTTTAACGGTATACTGATGACGATACGCTAAGTTCAGAAATACAGGAACTAATTCATCCAAATGAAACCTATTAAAACTGTCAATTTCTAATCACTAACTTACGCCTGTTGATCCCAATGGAGCATAGTCCAACGACTAATATTCTCCAACCCACCTTGTCCTGAGCCTTTTTTTCTAGTTCCATTCAATTCTTGTTCATTCTTTCCATGTCTATCTCCATCTGTCAACGTAATTTGTTCCTTGGGTTTCCTATTCTCCTTTGGCTCTGAGGAATATATGTGAGGACTTGACTTGTGACGCAGTGGCGTACGTTCCTCAATGTATGTCCTACTCACTTCCAGCACTTCTTACTGATTTCTTCCTTCACTGGAATATGGTTTGTTCTCTCCCACACTAGGTTATTGTTGATAGTGTCTGGTCAACGGAAACGAAGTATCCGTCAATTTCTAATAATAACATGTAAATATTCATTTTCTGTGTGGAGTGAATAATTTCCGTGAATTTAGATGATCATTGAATTATTTCATAAACATAAGTAATGAAAGTACAGTGAATGTAGCAGAATAACGTGAATACATTTCCCTCCGTGGTTTCTTATCAGCCGTTTACAACTTAAACATAATAGTATCAAACATCAAAAAATAAGTGTGCATAATTTATATCATCACATTATAACATTGAAAAAGTTATCATCAATAAGGATTCATTAGAGGAGTAAGTGATAATTAGGACTACTTGAATTATAGTACAAACAAGGAATCCCAGAAATAACGCAATTCGATCAAGAAGTTTTGGGAAAGCACGAAAGAATTTACTGTATTTGAAATTTGAAATCAAGCATTCAACAAGTAAAAAAGGAATCATTAGTTCATTCAAACACCACAGAGTATTAAGTATGTCTGATAAAGTCACATGCTACTGAATAATACTATCTCTTCAACCCGAACGAGGGAGCTGTTAAGTACCAACCAATCAAAGTCCTTTACAGCTTTTGTCATGTCATGATATCATTTTATACACAGATTAACTCTGATTTTTCCACCCAGTCCCAGGGTCGGCAAACATTGAACGATGTGGAATTTGTGATGATAACATTCGTAGTTCATGTCCAAACCAACGAAGTCGGTGCATTAAGATGATGAGATCGACTGGATTATTGTAACTGTCCGAACACACCTTACCGAACCTCTACATTACTAGCATGGTGTTGCCATTAAATCTTAGCAGTCCTTGGGAGACAACGATGATCAAACACAAAGTAAACTATCATCCCCGACTCAGAGAGGGCAGGCCCCACAAACATAGAGGGAAACTGCTTTCACTGACACATTATAAACATTTTACATTCAGACTAACATCACAAAGGTGCAAAAGATAGTTCAGATTAGCATTAGCTCCTCTAACTTTCATTATACGTACATTGATCTCATCATTCATCCAACCATCAGCACTTACACAGATACCTAGATACACGAACTTCTCGACTAATTATATCTGCTCACTACCAAGAGTGAGTGCAGGTTCAGAGTCCTGACGTTCTCGTGAAAATACATTGTATTAGAAGGTTCAAAGTAAATGCCATACCTACGGACACTGTTTTCCGACTGATCAAGTGAGAATTTCATGGTTTGAATATCATCGCACAGTAAGCCAATATCATCCACATACTCAAAGTCGAACAGTCTTTCTCCAGGCAACAGGTCCACACTACCATTACCTACATCCATCAGAGCTGTTTCCAGAAAGTGATCGACGGCAAAGTTGAAGAGAAATTGTGAGATTAAACATTCCTGCCTAACACACAATATGTATTGCTTAGTATCCGAAGAATAATCAGTTATCTACGGATATAATTAGACTTGAGTTGTGTTGTGCACATGTTCGCCGCTAAACGACTAAAATTTCATTTCTAACATACAGTTAACATTAACATTTGCATTCATGATATGCTTTTAGTGTAGCAAGCCGATTGTAAGTTACTACTGTACAATTGTCTCTAAATAAACGTTTAAGCAGCGATTTGATTGGTTAGTTATGGACATAACATCTACGTCCCTGATAATTGATTAAATCAAATTTGATCATTCTTACTTTTTTCAGTATGCGGATTTCGTCTTAGAAGTATGTTCAATTATCAGTGTTCTCATTTGGATATTAGCTAAATGCAACATTATGACAGAAAACTGCATAGTTATTTGGTCTTGTTTTATTTTAAAGAATTCCAAAGTGATTGATTTCATCAAATGCAAAATCCCCCGTACACTATAATGCTTGTGAATTAAGGCTATATCAAGGCAATACGCTCAAGATGCACATACGCTAATAAGAGATTGATCAATTGCAGTCCTGAATAACAGTGGGACGACACAATAAATTATACCAATTAAATTTAAACTCCCCCCATTTCACAATTATGTGGCCATCAGGACTCAGTAGCTAACTGGGTAACGCGACGACATTTGAGGCGAACGGTACGGGGTTAGAGTCCTGAAGTGGACGTCAGCTCTGGGAGGCAGGCTCGTCAAGCTAAAAAGTCTCAAATAGGACGAGACGTGCGTCAAACTGATTTCCACTGCTAGCCACCGTCATTCTTTGCACAAAATGGGTTTTTATTTAGAAAAACCATATTACTCAGTGATCGCTCTGTCATTATGTTAATGAGAGAGGGGTTGTGGAGATTGTACTAATTCAATAATTGAATTCATGAGTCGACTGAAGCTAAATCACCATGAGAAACCTGGAATCTCTGAACGGTCGTCTCATTCCTAGTATAGGACTCCTCAGTAGTGCGCATCCACGATCCCGTCTCGCGAGGTTCGGACCCAGGACATATCCGTATCGCGCGCGAACGCTTAAATCTCTAGACAAGTGAGCCGGCACCCAACAGTGTCAATTTCTAACTTCCATCAGTTCATGTTAAATTATTCCACTGATCTTGGAGTCATCATAAATATGAAATGTTAATTAATTAGAATTTGTTTATGAGAGAGTAATTCGATGAGTTCTTTCTCACACTACATCCTTCACACCATAATCTACTTTTCTGATACTATTAGTATGAAGAGGAAACTATTGATGTAAGTTTAGCTATTAGTATTTTTTCGATTGCATATTGATGAATGTTTAACATAATATTTAATAATAAATTTATTTTATTGTTGTATCCTAATGAGAGGAAAAATTGTATTTCTGATGACGTTTCGTGAATTAATATAAAGTATTTCTTCATAGTAACACAAGTTTGAACTCTCAATTGAGTATGGGCCGACGACCAGCATTCTTCAACCCACTCTGTCCTGAACCATCCTTTCTAGTTCTATCAAATTTCCGTCCTTCGAGACATGAGAAGAATGAACACCAACTGGATAGAACTAGAAAGGAAAGCTGAGGATAGAGTGGGTTGGAGAATGCTAGTCGGCGGCCTATGCTCCATTGAAAGTATCTATACATGATGTTGATTTCAAGAGGGAAGTGTAGATTAATTTGTTTGTCACGAATAATTGATGTGATTGATTTCTACAAGTACAGAATGCTTTATGTAAAATTAGTAGGAAGAAGGTTACGCCTCAATATTGTTTAAAAATATTGTTCACTAATAAAGGAAATGAACGCTTTTTATCTCTTGTGGATGATAATTAACGGGTAAATATAACTATCTTGTATGGTTGATATGTAAGGGTTTACTAATTGATCTCAGATAACTCAAATAACCCATTGTGTCACTGGATGAAGACAAAGAGTATTCAGCAATGGAAGTTTTCTCTTCTCGTCAAAATGATTTACCTAAGCTGTACATTGGTATTCATAGTTATATGGTAAATATATGTATCTATAGAAGCATAGAGAAGGTTACAACATAAATTGATTCCAGACTCTTATTATCAAATGAGGTTACGTAATAATCAAGAGGTAAGAGAAGAATATAGAGCTGGGAATAATTAACGGGTTAATCTAATTGTCTAATTGACAGATATGAAGAAGAAGAAGAAACACGAAAAACATAAAGGTCATAATCATAAAAACTGGATGATAATCAAAGAAACTTGTTCAAGGGCAATAATTACAGCTAATTACAGTTAAGAATGACAACACAATCAATCGATCAATCAATCAATCAATCAATAATAATAATATAATGAAAAACCCAAAACATAATACAAAAAAGAATTACGTCCAAGGAAGGATGAGAGGTTGGACAAATCGTGTTTGTACGCAATGTTAGTGTATTGCCAATGTCTCATCAGTGCATAAGATTTTAATTCGACCTCCGTTCGAACTAATTCCATATAATCATAAATACGAATGTACAGCTTGAGTAAATGATTTCGCCCAAAAAAGAGAAAACTTTCTTCACTGAATTCTCTTAATTAATATCAGTTTGTTCCAAAATGCATGTTCAAATAACATAAACTTAATTCAATAAACATTTTTCCAGGAAATAACGTATTGTTCTATATGGAGAACCCTTTCATCAAAGTGAAAAAGAATTCTGTACAGTATTACTACCATTTTATCATATCAGATAAATCAAATGAATCCCATGTTCCATCCAACGTTTTCTAGTAATGTAGTGAATGAGAATATGAGTGGGTACAATCGAATGTATTTAAACACAAAATTACAGAACATCTTAGTAACATCTGAGAACTATACAGTAGGTACTTCATTTATAAAATGTCAATGAATCGTCTGAGACTTCACTTTTCTTTCGTTCCCATACCAATCATTCTCTATTCTCGTTCTCTTCAATCTTCGTAACCTTCTGCCTCCAGGCATTTCACTTTTGATTATTGATACATACTACTTATATCTATCCACATCAGTAGCATACCACAGTAGTACCTTGTTCTACATATCTGAATTTAATAGATTTATTTATCTGTTCACAGCTTTATGTGTTAAGCAACCAAAATAATTGCCAACCTTATGGAGGAAATTCAGTAAGAAATAAGTGATCTAATTATTATTTTCGTTATAGTGACTTTTCGAAATAGTGAATTGTCTTTTTTTATATACCTGTACCATGTTATTCACTTCTCCAACCCCAAACATAGCATTCTGTAATTTGAAAGTCTATTCATCATCAATAGAACCAAATTGACTGATTTCAAATGATGTGAATTTATTGAAAACAAACTTTCAAAGTTGAACGATCCAGTACAATACAAAGTTTTATTGGTTTATCGACTGATATCATTACAGAAGCGATGAATATTAAGTAGACGGAAATTTCATAAGTATTACAATAGTGAATTGATTGTTTTTGGGATACTCGTCCACAAATGCTTTGTTATAGCCGATAGTGCGGAGAGTCAGATCTCCATCTCCAAATGCTCTCACATGGCCACGTGCACACAACCACTGCCATGGAAGTCCTACTCAGTGCCTACTCGCAGGCACCTGGGTAGTACTACAGTCCACACATAAATCAAGTGACTTGTGTGGAGCATCCGTATTCTGTGCTTCTTTGTGTTTATGTGTTTAAATAAATAAATTTCGGAATATCCAAATTAAATCGCATTGACTACAGCTTAAAAGTCATGATGAAGCAGAATAAAGCAGTATATTTGGAGTTTTAAGATGTTAACTAAATGTAACGAATTTTGTTTCCTTCCCAACGTTGTATCACGGCTTCGTCTCTGATGCGTTCATTGAATTTAGATTATGGTTGAAAATTGCTTAGTTACCTTGCGTTCTTCCAGATTTAGGTGTTTTGCTGTCGATCTTTTTTGTATAATTCATCTACTCTTTATCATTCTTCTCACAAACACAATATAGAAAAGCAGTAAAGGTGTTTATTTTTGGTTTCTGTTAAGTTCGTGGATCCGCACTGCTTATCAATCCTATAACAGGACAAAACGGTCGTTCAATGTCTTCAGATTTCCAGTTGTAGTTTAGCTTCGATGGACTTATAAATTCAACTAATAAAATTATTACAATCTCCACAAGGACAAAAATACCCACCGTCCCTAAGAAGGTACTATTCATAAAACTACAACTCATAAATGACACCATTGAAGAAATCTTTACTCAGAAACTACAAAGAGACGTACAAAAAACATTTAATGCTGCCAGATCAAATGCCATCTTCTACAACCATCCGAAAATAAGAACATCCAATAAAGACAGACTACCTGAATTTGCCAAATCTATGTGTATCTATCATTTCAACTGCTCCTGTGGAGCCAGTTATATAGGGTGTAGAACTCGGCAAGTCCGTCACCGTATTACAGAACATCATCCGACATGGTTAAGCAAAGGACAGGTAAAAGTGATTAAAAAATCTATTCTCTCTCATGTGGTTGACACAGGTCATCAAGCTGAATTGAATAAAGATTTTAAGGTTATCTACAATATCCCATCAAATCTACCACATGATTTTAGTCGTAAATAGGATAGGTACTTCATATATTGAATTCTTATTTCCGTCTAAATCATTGCATAAGATATCTGCTGACAATAGTCCTATGTAACTCTATTCGTTAGCCTTAGTTGTACAGAGAGATTCACTATTCCATCAGAACCGAAATGATTTGACATTTAGTTTGAAATTTTATATACAATTAATCAAAACTATACTGCTTTTATGTTAATCAGATATAAAAGTCTGTTAAAATCATATTCAATCATTACTCCCATTTAAGAGGTTGGTAAATAAGAAGCCTCCATTACGATGTCCGTTTTGTTACGAAGTAAGTTCTCTTTTAACTGTTTTTTTAATAATAATTTCTGTTTATTGACTATAAATATAGAGACACAAATACACACTTGGTGACGATTCCCTCGTGATACTAATTCAAAGTCCTTTTAGCAGTAATAGTCGTATAAAGCAATCAAATTTAACATGTACCGAATAAAGAAATCCATAATGGCTAGCAATGGAACTATATTCAATAGTATGCAAAAGTGGTTGAATGGATAATTTGTACACTGGTTAATGAACTCCGCCTGAAGTCCCTCCGAAGGCTACTGCCGATCCCAAGCCCGGGTAAAGGAGGAAGGTTGGGCATGGGGTTAGCGACCCCATCCCGTAGAAAACTAAATCGCTAAAAAATGCTAACCAGGAAAAATTGTTGAAATCTTTTAAACTCTGCCTTAGGAGTCAGAAGTTCATAAGTACACTGGTTAATGAGAGGAATAACGTGAGATATTTTGTGAATTTGTTCAAGAAGTTGAGTAGATACTTGCTTTTATCTATTCTAACCCACTAAAAATAATGAGGTCAACATCAATGTCGTATACGTGCCCAGATATTGATAGTTCGATTAACCACTTAGTGACTGTCATGAAGATATCTATTATCATGCTAATGTCATCTAGTAGACATCTAATCAACAGCTTTATGATGGTTTTAAGAATTACAAGCATTTGATAATGGTTTAATTGATCATAACTATCATTGAAATGTTTGCTGGATTTCTAAACTATCAATGAAAATATACAAAGATCAATTTTTAATTAAAACTCAATGAACTCTAGTTTAAGAGAATGTTTATCCTTGATGAAGAGTCATTTAAGAACTGGAAGCAATTAAACTCTGATAAAAACGAATTGTTTGTAATTCATGATGATATAAGTTGATTGAATTAAAACTCTCCATAATCACTACTCCGAAATTAACTTCAACGATGAATAAATATTATTGTGCTGTGTGCTACTGATGTCGACAGATAAAAGTAGTAAGTATCATCACCCGTAAATGAAATGCCTAGCGGCAGAACATTAAGATCGAAAAAAATAGAACGAGAACAGAGAAGGATTGTTGTGGAAATGCAGGAACAGTGAAGTTTGAGAAGATTGATTGACATATGCAAAAGGAACTATAAAGTTTGTGATGATTAATTGACATTTTTCAAATAAAGTATTTACTGTATGGTTCTTAGATTTTACTAAGATGTTCTGTAAACTTGTATTCCAGTACATTCGACTGTCCTTAGTTGTTATCTCGTTCACTACATTAGAGTTAAGTCTTATAAAACGATGAACACTGCATTTAGGATTAATATTGTTTGTAATGGAAGCTGTGATAAGTGGGATGGAATCATTTAATTACCAATCATTTCCCATTAGTGTTACCTGAATTGACTTCATGTTCTTCAGATATGTAATATAGCATAGCAGTGTTACAAGGAAATATATCGTTGTGGCTTACAGACTATTTCAGTTGCCTATGTAGCTATGACCATGGAGAAAACCAAGATCAATTGAAAAGCTTAATTCACAAATAGACAGACGAATATTGGAATAATGTATGAAGGGGGAATGGAAGCAATGCAACTATGGATCGTTAGCATTTGTAGATGAATAATCACAGTTCGAGTCAAGAAATGTTTTCTTCATAACCGTTAAACGTAAGCGAAGTATAGTCTATGTCAACACGAATGTGACTCAAAAAGGAGTAAGGAAACTACTGATAACTCTCACAAACTCTGAAATGTAACACATGGAGCTTTCATTATCAACAGTTATCAACGAATATATTCTCTTCCATACATGATGTGAAATGAAAACAATCACACACTATTCAACTAAATTGTCATTCAGTTCACATTTTTTATTAAGATATTGTCACTTCATTCTCGCTTGTAATGTTTGCTTCAATCATAATTGATGGCATTTTTCTCGTTTACTGTGAACATTATTCTGTACAATCATGTTTATTATTATAAATCAATTGAAAAGAACTTGTAACTAAGTGTAATTTACAATAAACTGATTTGTTATTGTTATAACTTGGGCCTCGTGTCCTATCCATGTGTAACGTAATGACACCGCCAATTAGAGAACAGTGAATTATCGACCGGACCAATGACGTATAAAACAAGTACGAGCAATCTACAGTCAGTCCTCCTTCCTGCCTACCCTTGCCTATTAAGTTCAGAACACCAATCTCAGCCTCTGTGATATGAATCATGTATTTCAAATATACTGGGCTTATATACAAATCTAACAGACTACATCACACCAGAAAATAAAAAATAACATCTGTACAAGATTTAGCCAAAAGTGGTTGTGAATGTAGGAGATAGTGATTGATAGACTGGATATGACTCACGAAGAGTAAATGGTATAACAATAGTCCGTAAGTCAAAATAAGCTTACGATAAGAGGAACACGAATATGAATAGTTTAGTTACTTATCAGTTATACGATAAAAATGTACGTATAGTGATAGTTCATAAATGTATTCCGACAGTTACCATCCATTATTCTCATCGAGATAGTTATAAACTTTACCGAAATCAAATTCTTCAGAAACGTTTATGGACATAATATAGTACATTTAGTCATCCATGATTTACTTTACATAACTGTAAATCAAGTATAGACTTGCTGGGTTCATTATACTTATAACCTATTTAGGTAAGTATGACGACTTACTTTTAATAAGGAGGGTACATCAAAATGATGTTTTCTTTGAAAACTGATCGATAAAATGTTTAACCTATCGATCACCTATTTGATAATCATAACAATCATATCACAGAGTGTTGCTGAACAGGATGAAAGACGCAGTAGACGCCCAACTTCGAGATCAACAAGCTAGATTCCGTAAGGATCGGTCGTGCACAGACCAAATTGCGACACTACGGATCATCATCGAACAATCAATTGAGTGGAACTCGTCACTGTACATCAGCTTCATTGATTATGAAAAGGCATTTTACAGTGTAGATAGAAGGACATTATGGAAACTTCTTCGACACTACGGAGTTCCTGAGAAGATTGTCAACATTATCCGGAACTCATATAACGAATTACAGTGCAAAGTATGGCATGGAGGACAGCTGACAGATGCATTCCAAGTAAGGACCGGAGTTAGACAACGCTGTTTACTCTCTCCCATCCTCTTTCTTCGGGTGGTCGACTGGATTATGAAGACCTCAACATCTGAAGGAAAACACGGAATACAATGGACAGCTCAGAATGAATTAGACGATTTGGACTTCGCAGATGACCTAGCCCTCCTTTCTCATACACATGAACAAATGCAGATAAAGACAGCCAGTGTAGCAGCGGTCTCTGAATTAGTAGGCCTCAACTACACAAGGAGAAAACCAAGGTCCCCAAACACAACATGGAGAACAGCAATCCAATCACTCTTAATGGCGAAACTCTGGAAGATGTAGAATCCTTCACATACCTGGGAAACATCATCGATGAACAAGGAGGTTCAGATGCAGACATAAAGGCGAGTATTGGTAAAGCAAGGGCCGCTCTTCTACAATTGAAGAACATATGGAACTCAAAACAACTTTCAACTAATATCAAAGTCAGAATATTCAATACCGACGTCAAGGCAGTTCTACTGTATGGAGCTGAATCTTGGAGAACTACAACAGCCATCATCAAGAAGGTACAAGTATTTATAAATGGCTGTCTGCGCATGATACTCAACATCCCATTGGCCAGATACCATCAACAACAGCCTTCTGTGAGAGAGAACAAACCAACCTCCGGCTGAAGAAGAAATTCGGAAAAGACGATGGAAGTGGATGGGTATACATTACGCAAATCGTCAAACCGCATCACGAGACAAGCCCTAACATGGAATGCTGGAGGGAAGCGGAGGAGAGGAAGGCCAAAGAACACATTATGTCGGGAAATAGAATCAGACATGAAAAAGATGAATAACAACTGGAAAGGATTGCCCAGGACAGCGTTAGATGGTGAATGCTGGTGAGCGGCTAATGCCCCTTCACGAGGAGTAACAGGTGTAAGTAAGTAAGTAATATGGATGGACATAGGTGTGGTTAGAATGATAACTAAATTATACCCTTAGATAAATGATGAATACAATTGCTGAATCTTTAAAAATATATCAAGTGTTATCTACTGTTACTATTATGGTGAAACACAAATCAAGTATACAAAATAACAGTACAACCAATGAAACTCCATGTACACAAGACACCGTAGGAATAATCAGTCGATAATTATTTATAGTTATCCAAGGTGTTATCCGTGAATGGTATATATATCTTTGCACCGAAACATAAATCAATAAATTGATCTACATGAAATTTTAGATTCAATTCAGTATGTTCATAGAATTATTGTGACAATGAATCACTAACTAGGATATGTTCAAAACCTTGTAATTTTTAGTTATGTCTAATAGAATTAAGTGTGATTTGTGATGGATCACAGCTTATTTAAGATGTAACAATATGTAAAGTAACCGATAATATACCAAAAATGTTTAACACTACAACCCTTAGTATATGTCTATGAGTAAAACAAAAGGTAACAAACTACATATACAATGATAACATTTGACTTGGTATTGTTTGGCTTGTATCTACCCATTAAGGTTTAAGATTGCAATTGATCAGTCTGTTATTGACCTATGTGCATACTGTGCGTATGACTCGATATTGCCTTAATTCACAACCTATTTGTAAGCATGATGGATATTGGCTAACAGTGGAGTCCGGGACGCGTGTTTCGTCCTATTTGGGACTTGTCAGCTGGATGTACCTGAATCTCTGATTTGATGTTCACACCGGGACTCGAACCCAGTACCATTCGCTTCAAACGCCACCGCGTTATCCACTCAGCTACTGAGTCCTGATAACCACTTGTTAGTGCTATGGGATGCAGGCACATCAAGCTGACGAGTCCCAAATAAGAAGAAACGTGCGTGCTGGATTCCGCTGCTAGCCACTATTCATCATTGCTTAATGATAACAGTTGTTATTAAATATTAACGTTACTTGTAAGCTGCTTTCTGAGATAGCAACCACAAATGAGTTCACTCAATTAACAAAGATTCCTCTGCACGTGGTGGCACCAACGAAGTAATGAGAAAGATGAAATTTGATAGTATTATATAATGTAGTGTAAGAAGGCTTTAAAGGATGTTATAACACTATTATAATCATCAAACAAAGGCTGTAACCAATAAAGCAGAAGGACAGGCGGCGTTGATAGCATTTATATTTTAACAATCGCGGTAGTGTGTTTAGTGTACATAACTAAATATTATCCTCTTCAATTCCGAAGAATCTCGGCTTTCACTATGAGGCGTCATAACTCTTTTAAATAAAGACCTTCTAACTCCCAGGGCAGAGTTTAAATGGTTTGAATTATTTTTTCTGTTAAGCGATTTTTTAGCAAACTAGTTTTCTATGGGATGAGGTCGTCAACCCCTTGCCCAACCCACCTACTTTATCCGGACTTGAGACCGGAAGTAGCACCTAAGGGGCTCCAGACGGAGTCACAGAGAAACAATAGACATTGAATATAAATTTGGTTACATGTAAAGTGTGACAAATAGGGAAAATGTGGTTTGTATTTTGTCGTTACAAAAATCATTGAATATACACGTCAGAATCGAGCTGGAAAGCACGTTTATTAAGTGGATGGTCATCAATATGTAACGTACCTCACTTTGGAGTATCCAAAGAGAATACTGATACAATAAAGTAGAGAAAACAAAATAATTCATGCGAAAACTAATAAATTAATAGTATGTGGAAATATATTCACACCTATATGTATAATGATGTCATATACGATATGTTTATACACAGAATTCTTTGTACATGTATTTGTTTGAACATAATAGAAAATGAGAGAAAAATTTAACCCTTAATGTCCTGGTACTGCTGAGAGTGGAGAGAGTCAGCTCTCCTTCTCAAAATGCTTTCACATGGTCACGCGTATACAGCCTCCATCTAGGAAGTCCTATCCACTGAATTCTCGCGGCAACGTTGTTATTTACGAAATTGAGAGAAAGAAAACTGAATGTCCGGTGCTTTAACCGGGTTGATTGAATGGAGGATCCACCTAGAGCAGTCGGAAAATCCTGATTCCAAACCAATGATACATATAGACTCCGGTATCCTGAAGGAACAAATGGCCTATGAACCAATCGTTGGTCACCGGCTACCGTGTGACACGATCTCCTGACGTTGCTCCACTGCCTTGCGGATTATAACTTGTAGGTCAAAGGCTCCGGGTGGACATTCGGGCACTATCACAGCCCACACACAAATCAAGTGACTTGTGTGGCTCATACGTATTTTGTGCTTCTTTGTACCAATATTTATGTGTTTAAATAAATTATTTAAAATAAATCCTTTGTATTGTATGGACGCGAACTATGTTCAACA